AAACTTCGAGGAGAACGACAGGCGTGTTAAGAGCTGCGCTTTTGAGAAGAAACATGTCGAATACTTCTGCTGGCAACAATGGTCCTGAAATCTCCTGCACTTATTGTAAAATTAAACCAGTGAGCTGTGGCTAACGAAATGAGTATGCAGAACAACATGGAAAATAAAAAAATAAAAAAAAATCGACGGTTCCGCCGAGGCTTCTCCCGACATGAACTAACCAAATAACAACTGGCATTAGTACTTGCGCCTGCAGACTCACAGCAGTATGCAACGATGAAAGGCTTTTTCTGCACTTATTGTGGATGATTCTTCTTAGCGCAAGCGGGTCTTGCTAGTCATACTCGCTATTGTCATGGGTTGTGGGTCTCATGTCTCCATATAGCACAGTATAAGACTACCGCTATATTTTGTAGTGTCTAAATGTATAATAAAAGTTAAAGGAAATTTAAGTATCTAGGCACACGTATAAAACACGACGGAAGCTGTATCACGGAAAAAAAGGAACAGAATAGGAGGCGGTCAAAACTGCATTTTATAAAATAGATAACATTTTCTGCAACAAATCCGTGTCATTTGAGTCCGATCCCTAGACATGAGAGGGGGTGTTAAAGGTCCTAAGCCTCCTTTAATTGCGCGATAATAATAATTATAGTTAGAATTATAATGTACAGAATGGCAAATTAAAAAAAAAACATAAGGTATTTGAAATAACAAATGTATTGACGAATGCTAAAAAGGAAAACGTCTATAAACAGAGCCGCCCTAACTTGACAAACCAGTATGTGCTGAGGTCCTTACAACAATCACTTGTTAGACAGACACAGATCATCAATAGAAACCTCTGTTCTCGGGACCCCCAGGGGACCCATACGTTAAGACAGCCCTGCCTAAATGTCTGGCGAGTAGGGTGACCATAATATCCTGAGCTAAAAACGGCACATTCCTTCGATGTTTTGAGCTGAAAACAGAACATTCTAATACTATTTAGAGTTAAAAACTGGACATCACATGCAAGTCAGTTCAAACTCTCTCCCCACCCTCCCCTTTTTTATTTGTTCCCTAGGTCACCGGGATGAAAGGGCTAATTGCTGCCTCGACAATGGTATTAAAACCGGAACCAAGAGATAAACGAAACAATGTGCTCTTTAACAGAATTAAAAAAAAAAAAACTCACAGAAGGTTTCCACCAACACATTTCAGGCATTAAAAGTAGCTACAACTATGAAATCTGATAAGGTCTACAGATGTAACTGTAAACGCGTGTTCCATACTTGAGATTATTCCTAGATTCTTATTAAACAGGAAAACTGGCGTCTTTGTAGTACCGACGACGTTAAGGGCCGCGTTAGCGCAGTCGATAGAAGACTCGCTTTTAAATCCAGCTGTGTTCGAAACCGAGGGTGTGTGTGGATGGCGACACATGAGGACAGTTTTTTATCAGCTGTCCGTACTTATGGCAGAGCACTTAATGTTTATAACCCTGTGCAATGACGCTTGTTCACATCTCTCGACATTACATTTACCGGCCCGAACACACCAAAGAGAAAACGAGATCGTCACTCTCACGGTCCCCAGAACACGTGTCTCTATTTCTCTATAGACGTTAACAGTTGTCTTGTCAGTTCGATCGATCAAACAGTTTGTACCCTTCACAAAGATACCTCAAGGATTACTAAACTATCCTGACTTTAAAGAATCTAAATCAGGATGGCAGAACAAGGCAGATCCTAGAAACCCCTTTAAACCTCCAAAGAAGTTATAATCTGTGGGCCTTTTCCGTCTTTCCAGACGACAGTGTTATATTGTGCTATGAGGAGGCAAGGGACTCAGAGCCCATGGTGATGGCGGGTGTTACTCGCAAGACCCGCTGGCGTCAAGAAAAGTCTTCCATGGGGACGTTGTAGGGGGACGTTGCTGACGTTGTAGATTAAAAAAAAAAAGCTCTGTTTTGTTCTGCCAGTTTCCCCCCTTTATTTTAGCCGAAAATCCCTAGCCAGATCTTACACCCTGATGAACAGAACCATCGGTGTACACTACTGCATCATCTAACCCAGCTTATCCATCTATCAGTTGTTGTACCTCTAATTCTGCCACACCGTTACACCACTCTCTACATTCTCTCCCTAACGTGATAATTACCTGATGGAAACTGCTGTTGTGTGTGTTCGTGTCGACCCATTCCTGCCCCTTGTATATTTGCCTGACCGAGGCCGCCGTCTCGATAGTTATGAGTTAAATTATCTTCACAGCACTCCGGACACATCCATAGGCGCTCAGATTTCCCTCTTAATATATCCATCAGCGTCGTGTGGTTAATAGTGCCAATCCTATGTTGGTTAACATGATTTGATTTGATTTGATTCAAGGACCGACATCACAGCACTCGAGGCATTTCCATAAGCGCTCCGTATGTTGTTTAACAAGACTTCGTGGGCGTCCGGTGTGCTTCTCGTGCTTGGCTGTGCCGATCTTTACTCTCAATTCGCGTATTATTAGCAGCGATGTGGACACTTTGCTTCCAAAATCCTCAGAACGTCTTATCTCTCTAAGGGCAATGCCAATATTTGCGTGATCCATGGGCCGGCCATCTTTAATTAATGCAGTACCTACCACTCTATCAGTTCTCTCATTACTAACAACGCCTGCATGCCCTGGAACGAATATAAAGGTAACTGCACACACCGGAGAGTTTTGCAATGACTCAAACCACTGTCTGTGTAACCAGCTTGCCTCGACCCGCCGGATCATGCTCAAAGAATTACTCAGCACACACACGAGGGAATAGTCCTGTGATTCTAGCTACACGAAAGCTTGTGTCACCGCTATCACCTCCATCGTCATGCTGCTGGTAGTCATGGAGAAGGCACCAGTGGCTTCTTAAACTGTTCTGTCTGACGGGCGAGCTGTAAATGCCCATGCACTCTTGTGTCCTCGTATAACATACCCGTCTGTGAAGATCACCACATCTGTCTCATCTGACTTGTCACTGATAGTACCTCGACATTGATAGCAGCTGGATTCTGCTCCCGACAACTCCTATCGAGCGTCACGGCACAGGAGAATGTGAGATTGGGCTCTTTAGACGCTGGTATTCATTCCTCACCTGGATGGATGTCTGTAAGGCTGCAGACCTAGCATGATGTCATCCTCTACCCTACCCAGCCTTGATGTGCCCCTTTTAAGCCTATTGCACGAGCCCTCCAGATCTTGATCCTGTAGTTCATGTTAGGGAAGTCAAGAAGGTACCTCATTGCTAAAGGTACCTCATTGCTACACAATGGGGGATCTCATGTGCATCCCAGAATAATGCGCATTGCTTCGTTTTGCACTTTCTCAAGTCTTTCAATTTGAGTATTGCTGACAGTGAGGATGGCAAGAGCATATTCGATGGAAGATAGTACAAGTCCCTGGAACAGAAGCAGAAGCTGTCTCTGCTCAGTGTTAGCAACGGCTATGACCCTCATTGCTGACAGGCCTTTGAGTGCTTTTGTTATGACATGGTCAACATGTTCTTTGAAGGATAGGCTGCGATCAAACCTTACTTAGAGGTATGTCATCAGATTTGTTCTCGCTGCTTTCCACTGCTAGTAAGTTTGCCTTCACTACATGCGCGTTCTCGTAAGTCAGCATACCGCGATCGAAACCCACTGCAGGCTGCGTGGATATTTGTCGTGGTATGGGACGTCGCAGGTTGACCCAGCCTAAAATGGGTACCAGGATGGGCTGTCCTGGGAAAGTAAATACAGCCGGCGTAATGCTGACCACATTACCCACAGAGTGCTGATGGTCTGTAAAAATATGGGACGCTCTGCCCATATGCCCGATGCGCCGAAAGGCGTGAAAAGGGAACTTTACTTTACTTTACTTACATGCGCGTTCAAGGAGAACCACGTTACTGCCTTCGAAGGGTTGATTTGAGCATTAGAATCTGCACACCAGAAGGAGATGCGATTAAGTTTACTCTGCATTGACTTGGCAATAGTATCTTCAGCTAGTGCCATCCATGACTTTCCTCTTTTTAACCAGTCTCCTCTAAATCGTTCAGATTGCCTTTCAGTGGATGTCTTTCATCATTGGTAACTCGCATATAGACTTTGGCTGCGCCAGTGACATTCTAGACTTGGCCGATGTCAGCCCAAGCATAGACCTCATTGTTCTAATTGGGGTATAGCGTGTACAACCCAAGACGATTCTCATTCCTTCATATTGAATCCTTTCAAGCTTTTCACACTGTGAAGTAGACATAGGTAATATTCCTAGGCTATAATCGATTAGGGAGTCGCCGTGGCTGAGCGGCTAGACGCTCGCCGCGGATCGGAAGGTCGTGGGTTCGCTCCCTGGAGGAGCCGGGCTTTTTACAAAAATGACCTTTTCTCCCAGGTCTACCCAGCCTTGAGTGGGTACCGGGTGCAGTCCCGGGAGGTAAAGGCGGCCGGCGTGATGCTGACCGCATCATCCATCTTGTGCCGAATTGGTCTATACAAATATAGGTCTAGCCCTATATGCCCTATACGCGTAATGGCGTGGAAAGGGTCCTTTACTTTTCTTTACTTAAAATCGATTACAGAAAAGACCAAATGCTTGAACAAAAACACGCAACACGTTCCAGGGCATTTGGTTCCCACAAATTCACCCCAGTACCTGTATCATTCATGTCCCGCTTGCACATATCTTTATAACTTATTACAGGTCGACCTGGAAACCTTCTGCCCATCTGTAATTCATCAAAGAGGATGTCCTTGAGGACCAACAAGTCATAACTGAGGCACTAGTAACGGCTGTACCAGGTGTTTCCCGCAAATCCCCATTACGGGTAAGGACTGTTTCCCTGTCAACGCTGGGCTTTATTTTCAAACTGTCCTCGCCAGGTAGGGACAAAAGCTACCTTTCTAGGTCACATGACACTTCCGTCTACCTGTGTTTCTTTGAACATGGAGGCAGCAATACGGAAGTGGACGATATAGACAGATATGTTTGAATCGACGCCCAGAAATGTGATGGATACAGCTGTTGTGATGATTCTAGTCTGGGTTTTCTTGGCGTTTGTACTTGCGCCTGCAGATGCGCAGCAGTACGAGGGTTTGAAAAGTTATATGGGAAATGTGATTGTCAACACTCCATACGGCTATGTTAGTAGTATTTTTTGTGTAATTTTACTCTGTTTACTAGTTTACTAATTAAATTAAATAATATTATTTAAAAAAAAAAAAAACGGTACTGCCTTGGCCTTGACTCCTACTATTATTACTGTTCAGAATTAAGTTTTCCTTTCTTTAACTGCTTTAATGATAACTAACAAGGAGTAGTCTTGATGAATGAATAGGTCTTTTTGGTTAGTTTCATGCAACTTGGAAATAATTACGTGTTGATGATACATTCACTGAATAATTCTACCCTCCCCTCCCGAATCTTCCAGAACTCTCTCAGCAGTTTTTTTTTTAGGGGTACCCGAGGACCATCAACGGATAGGTACAACATTTGGGCTCTCCTTTAAATAATGGTCGCTAGCTGGAAAGCTGACGGTCGCTTAGTCGGAGTGCGCTCCCTTGGCTGCATTGCAAATACGGAGCTTAAAGACGGAACGAAACAAATGACATACTTACCTGTCATCATACGGTTGCGTAGGGTGTAGGGTAGGGTGTGGGTTAGGGGTAGGGTTGGATGTGAAAATTTTGACGCAGGAGTTCCAAATACTGGCCGACAATCTGATGCTTGTGTTAGTGGCGCCACTGGAATTCTCCTAAATATGATGGCAATAGCGCGCGGCTGGTGCCCAATTGATGGCGAATTGTCCGTTTGAGTAGCATCCACAGTCCTTCAATTGTTTGGGTGTGTATGTCACTGTGCTCGATTAGTTGGAACTCCTGCGTCAAAATTGTCACATCAAACCCTAACCCTACCCCTAACCACGCAAACTTATCGGTCATTAAGGCATACAGATCTGCAGGAGTCACATCCGTTGCAACTAAATCGTGCGTCGCAAGAACGTGGTTGCTAATGTGAGTTGGAGCTCGATGTCTAACTACCATGTTGACCTTGTTTTTGATTCGTGACTTTTCCACTCCGTATTTGCAATGCAGCCAAGGGAGCGCACTCCGACTAAGCGACCATCGGCTTTTCAGCTAGCGAACGTTATTTAAAGGAGAGCCCGACATTTGTACTGTGAAAAACATTTAAGAAAATACCAGCCAATTACAACCTATGTGCAATATACACATCTTACTCATAAAAGTGAACATGAAAGATCAATCAAAGATTAGTATTCATTCATTGTCCTGTTGGGCCATTATGTTTGACATAGGGCTCGCAGTCTGTTCCATTCTATTCTGTGCAGTCAGTTTAAAATCTTAGATGGAATCCAGTCCAGCAGACTTGACCTCGGCTATCCTCCGAATAACGGCCCTAAATTATCGAGGCAGAAAATATACCCTAAAAGGGCCTCAGTCACGTGTCAATTGCGCACTTCCGGGGACTATAGCGCAACCGTTGAATTGCGAACTTCCGGCAACTTCCGCCACCGCCGAGAGTATCCCCCACGCCGCGTGAGCGCGCAATTTAAGATGACGGAAGTGCGCAATTGACACATGACTGAGGCCCTGTTAGGGTATATTTTCCGCCTCGATAATTTAGGACCATCATTCGGAGGATAGCCCTTGACGTCTATGATCAATGTTCATCTCAGGCTAAAGATTAGTCAGCTGCCACTAATAATCTTGCTTCTTCAACAGAGCACATCAGACACGAGGTTCATAGTTGCAGTTTTGACCCACCACCATTCATCTCTATGATTGGTTTTCTCTTTCTATTTGGTCTACAAAATGGAGCATTTTTTGTGTCAATAGATGCATTTGGATATATAGTTTTAGATCTATATTTTATAGACCAATTGGCACTCGGTTGATGTGGTCAACATCTGGCTTGTCGCCAGGCCATGCCTATTTTAACATGTTTCTTTCAGTCTAATCATTGTAAATGAATATTTAATGGAATATTTTCACTGTTACACTTGAGACTGTTGACAACATAATCAGGTAGATAGGCCTAGAAAACTGCAGTCTACAATAAGTAATGTTTCTCTGTGTTCATTCAGATGGGTAACAAAAATTGTACATAAAACTCTGGGTTCCGGAGCCTCATTGTGGCGAGAAAACAAAAAAGATCCAATGCCTTCTCAACTAGCATGTTGTCAGAGTCGACTAATTGGGAGACTTCCTTTAAAATCAGAGTGCATCTGCCAGATTGGCAAGAAGCAGCCAACTGCCCACAAATAAGCCAGTAAAATAGATTTATAGGCAAAACTCAGGCCTTGGCACAAAGCCAAAGTCCAAGTGGATGACAAAACCAGGACTTTCCACAGGAGCTTGCTGCTGGTGAACACAAAATAAATACATGAAACACAAATTCAATCTATGAATGTGAATAAATTCAACTCTGTTTAGGCACCAATTCCAGAAATGTGTTCATCCTACCAAAGTAGTTTTTTTCTTTATTTACTGTATTTATTTACTTATGTTTCTTTTTCGTGTGGTCATATTTATGGATCGTTGTGAGGCACATAGGTCGTAAGTCAAGGAGAAGATGTGTATGGTGAGCACAAAAGTCTTATATACTCATGCAATATTGTAAAGCAATAAAAAAAGATAAACCTTGTTTCACTTCAAAAAAAATCTTGAAAATATTTTTCTTGGAGGTAAATTTCTACCTGATAATTTTCAAGTCTGTGATGAATGTTCTAGATGATGACACATTTCAAATCCCAGGTTTGTACTGAAAGTTGTACATTACAATGTTGGTAGTGGAGCTGACAGCTTCCTATATTTTTAATTTCAGGTGAAAGGTGTCACCTTCACATCACAGTATGAGAACCTTCCTAACCGTTGGGTGAATGCATTTCTTGGTGTGCCTTATGCGAAGACACTGGACCAGTATGGCAGCGAGTGGAGGGAGAAGTATCGTTTCCATGTAAGAATACATAGATAAAATTATCTGATTTCAACCATTCTATCCTGTGAAAGATCTTCCATGTTTGCTTTTAAAAGGGTGGTTGGCACACTTGGGTGTTTGTTTACAAATAGGCTGCAATATATGTGCGTCTCAATCCACTCATTCGGTTTAAGCAAACCTAAGCCTGTTTTTATGACAAACTTATTAAGATGGCAGTGCCCCCCTCCCCTTTCCCCATGCCTGGGACCCAGAAACCCACATTGGCAGTGGGATCTGGGAACACACAGGGATATTACAGATCTTATATCCAATAATTGAAGTGTATTGGGCATATACTGCTATCTCTGTCATTTAAAGACTGTTGGCGCTCAAAAGGTAACTTTGTTAGTCTTATGCTAGCTAGCTGGCTTTACTTTCCAGGGATCTAACCTGCCACCTGCAATTGATGACAGTGCCTCACTGCAGGAGCAAGTGTACTTAGACTCATGACCAGTTTGACACCCAAAAATAAGTGGTACCTTTATTTCAGTGAAAATCCAACACTCGGAGCTATATAATCCATGCCTTGTGTGATGCTGTCAGCAAGTGACCAGTCATTATATAAAAAGAGACTGGGTCACATGGGGTAAAACCCAGTACAATGAAGTTGACCCTGTAACCTTAAAAAAATCTTTCACTTTTTCCGCAACAGGGAATTCACAATATATTTATTGGTTACTCTTTATGAAGGGACCATTTCTTTACTGGGAGCCGTTGTGGAATAGCGGCTAGACGCTTGCTTGCGAACCCAAAGGTAGTTGGTTCAAATCTGCGTGGAGCCAGATTTGTTTGAAACACGACTTTGGCTCCTGAGTCATCCCAGTGTTAAATTCGTACCAGGTAAAGGTGGCCAGCCTGATGTTGACCACATAAACCTCAATGAGGGCTGATTTTCTATAGAAATATGAGTATAGCCTCATTTGCTCAGTGTGCCATAAACGTTTAAAGGGGCCTTTCCTTTAAAAATAATTTTTTTGTTTAAGTAATTTTTTTTTTAGATTTCTTTACTCTTGCGGCGATGTCATACTGTCCAGCATTTTCTCGCTTGATCTCCCTCTGCTTCAGTTCTCCTGTAACTGTCCCACAGTCTTGAATTTATGACAGAAATGGTTAATTATCTGAGACTAACAAAGATAAAAGCGTGTAACAGAAAATTATAATGGAGTACTTTTGTTCCATCTTTAATAGTAACCGTTAGGAATTACTGATGTATTTCAGAATCCTGATGAAGACCCGTACTGGTACGGAACATATGATGCAACAAAGTACAAGCCTGCCTGCCCTCAGATGCCCTGGCTAGTAAGGGAGACAGTCTGGGGCTTCAATGAAGTGTCAGAGGACTGTCTTTACTTGGATATTTACACCCCAAATGTTCGTTTCATTTTATATTTGAATTATACTTATTATTAGTGTGTGATCCAGCAAACAGTTCATTCTTGCCTATTGTTTGGTGATCATATGTCCCTAGTGAGGTAAATTTTTACAAATCAGGATACTCAGAATTGTCCTAGGATGTAAAGGCAATGACATGATTAAGACCACATCGACCATTGAGAGTGTAACAACAGAGGATAGGAGAAGTGGAACAGAAATCAAAAAGAGAATAAGAATGGCTAAAACTCTTCAATAAGCTGCAAAAATTATTGACATCTAGAGAGATAAAACAGCACATGAACAGTGAGAATCGTCAGCTGTTATGTATACTCAGCCCACCTGTATGGTGCAGAAACTTGGACAACAAACAAGCAACTAGATAATCACATTGTCCCTGGAAATATAGAAATACAGAAGAATAGGCTGTATTCTGTGGAAACAAAAACAATCAGATGTGTACAGAGGTTTTAGAAAGCCTGCGGATGAAAAAAGAATTGCTGAAATAAATAAAAAAAGAGACAATTGAAATATTTTGGCCAAATTAAAAGACATAACACACTTTTAAAACCCATACTTGAGAGGAAGAGGTCAAAGGCAAGAGAGCAAGAGGTATACAATGATACAAGTCGGAGGACAACATCAAGAGATGGACAAATAGCAGCTTGAGAGAGTTTACAACTAGGGCAAGAGAGCATGTTATCCATTGCAGCCAACTTTCATTGCTGAGATGGCTCCTAACTGATTGAACCATCCAGTGCTGATGGCAGTAAAAAATGCACCACAGCTAAAGCGTCAGTCCATCAGATGCTGTCTTCCTAATAAAGGCTGGCTGCATTGGATCTGCAACACATTTTGTCTCTGTCTTTTGATTGTACACTCTGACACTACTTAATGTTCATCCTCTCTTGGTGTTATTTTCTACTTCGTGTCTTTGTCTGCCTCCTGCCCAGCTGCCTACTTAAAAAAAAAAAATTTTAGTTTGACTTTTACAAATGTCATATTATTTCTTCCACTTATATCCAGTGTTCTCCAAGTAGCTTATGCTGACCCATCATATCTTTTACCATCCTTAGCTCCCTCAGGTGATTTCCCAATTCTAACATTCTCTATGTGGCACTTCTGGAGATTTTATAAGATGTAAAAAAAAAAAAAAAAAATTGTGTTGTCCAATCCAGATTCTTTGTGGCTTTTTATTCCTCACATCCGATTTTCCTGTTGAGGATTCTGGGGACTCATTGTGGGAAAAAAAAAATAGAATAGACCCACTGCTCCCTCCCCCCGCCCCCCCCCACACCCCCCTCCCCCTCCCCCCCCCCAACCACTATGCATGTCTTAAAAGTCGACTAATTAGGGGCGTTTCCTTCAGAGTTGGAGTATCTGCCTGAGAGGTGAGGAACCAACAGTCTGCATACAGATAAGCCAGATCTAATCTGTACAATGGATCTGCACACAAAACCTGAATTCTGAAACAAGGCTAAAATAGAAATTATATTTCACTTGTCTTTGAGTGTCACCAGAATATATGTGCAGAATTTCTGTTTATTATCTTCATCCACTCTTTTGTATTTCTACCTTTACTAAGACTAATATTTGTTTTTTAAATTCTTTTGGGACAGCTCTTTTCCTGCAATAAGGATGTAACTATAATCAAATCCTCCATCTTGAAATCAGTCTTCTTATTCTTCACTTCCTTTTTTACCCCTGTGGGTTCTTGCTTCTTGTTTGTCTGGTGCCTTGAACTTAGACAGATATTCTTGGTCTACTTTGTGCTCTATGTCCTTCTCTTTTTGTGTATGCCTTGTGTGTTATGATGTCATAAGGAATTCTTTTGAAATGGGAAGACCATTTGATTTGCTGTCTTTGTATGTAATTTAGAATTGTTTTGTGCCAACTTTGTCTCTTCTGACCTTATTTCTGACTGTATCTCTTCTGGTCACTCCTGCACCCTTCTTAGACATCTCGTTTCCCTGGTTACTAATGAACTTTTTTGGTTTATTGTGAGTGATCATGCCTGGCACTGGTAGCATTGGATGGGAATGAATATGCTGTGTATGAGATGTTTCTTTGTGGTGATCAAGATTGTCTCATGCTGTAAGAGGGGGGAGGCTAGCTGTTCCAATACTTGGTTTGCTTCCCTTCATCAAATTTCCCCATCTTCTGTGTGTTTTGTTCCCAGATATTTAAACTCAGTTGAAGTCAGTGATCAGTTTAAAGTAAATGTAATGTTTATATTTATGGCTAAATTGTACACACATATTATTGTAGATCACATCAGAATCGGTATCAGCATCTCCAAATCTGTATCCTGTCCTTGTGTTTCTTCATGGTGGCGGTTTCATCATGGGAGCATCAAGGCAGTGGCCAGGTGTTTTCTTAGCAGAGAGATTTGTTGTGGTAGTGGTTATAAACTACAGGCTGAATGCGCTTGGTAAGTTTGGCTTATTTCATTGCAGTCACGGTCAGTGTTTTTCAGCGACATATCATCAGAACATTGATTTCTTGAATGATAATTTAAGTATATCTGGTAATATGGTAATCTAGGTTTTAGCTTCATAGAAAATGGGTCACCCCACAGTTGCTCTGCTCTTCTGCCAATGAAAAGCACACATAATGTCGGTCACTGTCCTTTGTGGAAAAAATGACACAGACTGCTGTCTCAGCATATCCACTAGCATACACACGCACTAAAAGTATAAGACAGCCATCAGAAGGACTAACACAAGCTGTCTGACATCAGAAATGCAGTTCATCGTCAACGGAAGCAGCAGTTACTAACAGATCAGTAGTTGCACACATGATTAATTCATATAAGGCACCATCACATCTGTGACAATGGGTTGCTCACCATTTTCTGATTCTACAGTTCACAACAAAATCTTGGTCACAGCCAAAAAAAATATTTCAAATGAATTCCACAGCCCACAATGTCATGCTATGCATTCAGCTCATTAACTGGGTGACGAAACTAAATTCTTTCAGTATACAGATGGGGGAAAATTGCAATGGCCAACATCTGTCAGAAATAAAAACATTTGCCACGATTAGAAACAGTGCCATCCATTTTGATCAAAAGCCAATAATTTAACTATCTATAATGTTAGAACAGCGGTTGTTAAATGCCTGAAAACAAATATAGACTTTAAATTATATAATTTTAAAAGTTATGTTTTCTGCTGCGGGTGTCTTTCAGTTTTTACATATTCTAGTGAAAGTTGAAAAACCATTAAAGACATGGAGCAAAAATTATATTCATTTAAAAAAAAAAGACGACTTAGGATGAAATTGATAAACATTAAATGGAATGATTTCAAGAAAGAAGAAATAGGTGCTAATCACGAACCTGCTATAAAGCGCAAGAGTTCATTCCCCTCTCCTCAAATGGCGCCACCTCATAACACTCTCACAACATATGACAGTTAAATTACCACTGCAAAACACAACCTTTAACATGTACATACATTTTGAGAACCACAGGCCAGGTGAAACAAGATCACATAAATAGAATATCCTACTTGGAAATAAATTTTTTGATTCACAGGAAATGAAAAATATTCCATATTAGCAGCCTAAAAGTATTATAAAAACATACCACATCTGCTAGTTGTTTCAGTTAAGAACAGCACAAATATGACTGATAATAAAATATTAAAAACCACATGAACACCTAATGCAGCTAGGTCAGAAAGCTGGATGCATGACTATGTTACCATTTTCTTTTGTCAGGTTTTTCTTTGGTTTCAGATCATGGACTGCTCATCGTATTTTAATTTCACCTCTCTTGACTTTCACTTATTAATAATGATCCTGTTGTGCCATTTTATGTCACATAGAATTCACCATTGAATTGTTTCACCCTGTTCTTTCATATACTATATTTCTGATATTGTAGGCAGAATCTAGTCTGGCACCTTTGTTCTCTCTCATCAGTGTTCACAATAGGGTTTCTTTTGGGCATCGTAGCTTTTTAAGTCCATTGATTTCCTATTCCAGTGACTGTCATGTGGTTCTTTGTGTGGAAAGTTGTGGGTTTAGGTCCTGGCAGAGCCTGACTTTAAAAAAAAAAAAGACTTTGGCTCTTAGCTCGATCTAGCTGTGAGTGGTTGCCAGGTTGCCAGTCCTGGGAAGTAAAGGCAGCTGGTGTGATGATGCTGACCGCATCACCCACCCAGTGCCGTTCGGTCTAAAAAATATAGGTCTAGCCCTATATGCCCACTACACCTGAAGGCATGGAAGAGAGTCCTTTACTTTCTTTTACTTTCACAATCAATAAATCAATCAGATATCTCCACAGTGGAGGTTGGCTGCAGTTGATCTCATTCGCACTCTTTCCTTCGCTCTCGATATACTCACTCAGACTGCTGTTTGTCCAACTCATGGTGTTATCCACCGACTTGTATTGCTGTCTACCTCTTACTTGCATTCAATCAACATATCCTTTACAGAATGTTGCTTTCCTCATGGCACGCCAACACTCCTCGGTGATAAAACATGCATCCCCACACTAGCTGCTCCTGCACTCTGACCCATGAGAGTGACTTTATCTGGATTTCCACGGAATGACCTAATTGTTTTCTTCACAAACTGCAATTTTCTAGTCAGTTCTCCAGCCCTGTGTGACTCATAGCCCATGCATCTTTAGTGTACACCACCTTCACGGAGGCTGGCCTCTACTTCATTTTCTGGAAACTGCTGGACCACCACAGTGATTGACTCTCTACTCTTTTCCGTTTCCTTTTTATTTTCCACCACAGTGATTGACATGACCACAATAGCTTGCATTACTACTTTTCCTTCCAGTATAGTTTTTTTTTTTTGGCATCCTAGTATTGATTTGATTTAATTATCAAATAAATAAGTAATGGTTAGATTAATTTAACAACTTTGTTTTTCTATTTTTTTTGTGTGTTGTACAGGATTTCTCAGCACAGGTGACCGCTACTCAACTGGAAATTATGGAATGTTTGACCAGGTCAAGGCATTGCAGTTTGTTAAGAAAACAATTAGGTCATTCCGTGGGAAATCCAGATAAAGTCACTCTCATGGGTCAGAGTGCAGGAGCAGCTAGTGTGGGGATGCATGTTTTATCTCCGAGGAGTGTTGGTGAGTAAAAACATTTTTCCCTCGGGGAAGGGGGGAGGGGGAGGGGGGTTGTAAGAGTGTTAGGTCTGTTTCTTTTCTCTCTTTTTTTATTTCCTTCCGCAACTCTCTTTACATCCCTAGTGTTTTCAGAACCTTTATATTTGATTTAATTGTGTTTGTTTACTTGAAATACAAACTCAGTTCAATTTTCTGATTGCTTGCTCTATGATCCAGATACTGTCAGGATACAGCAGACTTGAGTATAGATAACATTTGACAGGTCTCATTTTTAATGTGTTATGTCTCTAGATATCAGTTATCTTCACATGCTGTTGAAAATATTTTGGGTCACCCCTGTTCTCTTTTTGACTAGTTATCTCCCTGAACTAACTTTTTTTTTGATTATACTGTTTGTCAAACCATTGGGGGGGGGGGGGGGGGTTGCATTTATTTTCTCTAACTTTGACTGTCCCCAGTCTATCTGTAAGGCAACATATTTGTATGTCTCTTTCATCTGGCTGCTAATCCTTGACCTGTCCGACATAAAAGAGACCATAAAAAGTAAAGTAACTGGACCTTTTCAACGCCTTCAGTTGTGTTGGGCATATAGGGCTAGACCTATATTTTATAAAGCCAATCAGCACTTGGTGCGTAATATGCTGAGCAGCATGCTGGCCACCTTTACTTCCCAGGTCTTGCACCTGGTACCCATTTAAGGCTCAGTCCACCTGGGAGCCAAGGAAATTTAAAAAAAAAAAAAAAAAAAGAGGTCAAGAACCTATGGCCTGTTTTATTACTGTAAAAATATAGTTTTTTTTCTTTAAAATTGCCTTGAATATTTTCTAATTATGCATTTTAGGCCTCTTTAATCAAGCCATTATGCTCAGTGGGTCTGAAATGAGCGAGTGGGCAGTTATCAGGACAGCAGATTCAGTTGAATATGCTCGTCGTCTTTGTGCTGAAGTGGGATGTCCAACAAGTGATTCACAACAGATGATGGATTGTCTGCGATATTACAGGAGCTTTGAGCAGATTGTCAATGCTTCTGCACGAGTTTCCATGTTGGTATGGACCTTTTTATAATTCCTCATTATTCTCTAGGAAAACTGCATTGATGGTTGGTCTTTCTTATCAGATGGGGAATTAATGAAGGGTTGCAGATCAAGTAATGAAGGGTTGCAGACCAAGTAATGAAGGATTGCAGACCAAGTAATGAAGGGTTGCAGACCAAGTAATGAAGGGTTGCAGACCAAGTAATGAAGGGTTGCAGACCAAGTAATGAAGGGTTGCAGACCAAGTAATGAAGGGTTGCAGACCAAGTAATGAAGGGTTGCAATGACCAAGTAAGTAATGAAGGTTGCAGACCAAGTAATGAAAGGGTTGCAGACCAAGTAATGAAGGGTTTGCAGACCAAGTAATGAAGGGTTGCAGACCAAGTAATGAAGGGTTTTCAGACCAAGTAATGAAGGGTTGCAGACCAAGTAATGAAGGTTGCAGTTGCAGACCAAGTAATGAAGGGTTGCAGACCAAGTAATGAAGTGTTGCAGACCAAGTAATGAAGGGTTGCAGACCAAGTAATGAAGGGTTGCAGACCAAGTAATGAAGGGTTGCAGACCAAATAATGAAGGGTTGCAGACCAAGTAATGAAGGGTTGCAGACCAAGTAATGAAGGGTTGCAGACCAAGTAATGAAGGGTTGCAGACCAAGTAATGAAGGGTTGCAGACCAAGTAATGAAGGGTTGCAGACCAAGTAATGAAGTGTTCCAGACCAAGTAATGAAGGGTTGCAGACCAAGTAATGAAGGGTTGCAGACCAAGTAATGAAGGGTTGCAGACCAAGTAAACAATTGAGAGATAATATAACATGAACAGAACATAACCCTTGACCCCTTAAGGTTGTGGACATGTATCGATGGGAGCTCTAGCACATAAAACCCGCCATTTTGTCTGTCTTCCGCTTGATGAATTAGAGTATGATAACTTAGTCCTGTCCATTTTCTTGATGTTTTCATTTCAAGTTCTTCTTTGCCCTCCTGTTCTTGGACTACCCTCCAATGTTAAAAAATATACAGACAGACGTATAGACATGTGGAGTTCCCAAATGGAAAGAGAGGGCCAATGCAGAGATGGAAGGAGGTGGGACAATATCTACAGCGATAAACTTTCAAGGGCTCAGAATGTTGAAGAAAACGAAGAGTTAGAATTTTATTATTAAATCTAAAATAGCGGGAGACAATCAAAGAAAAATTTAAACATTTTGTGCTTGTGTCAAGTACTTTAGGCTTGAAAAGCGGGAGACAAAAGATCTGAGTGGTAATATATATATATAAATTGAACATTTTGTTGTTTCTTTCTCTGACCTATGATTTGATTATTTTCTTTTTTCGGTCCTTGTTTTTCAGTCTGGGAAAATAGGAAACCCCTGGGGACCAGTTGTGGATGGACCCTTTGTTGGAGTTAACTTTGCTTTCTTGCCTGACCCACCTGCGGATCTCAGGAGGCAGCTAAGACAGTTGAACATCCCTCTTCTGGCGGGAATGGTCTCAAATGAAGGAGCTTATTTTATACGTATGTATCACTGTAGAAGTTTTACTTAAGATAGTTTTGTTTGTAGTGTTTGTGCATCATGTACCAGCAGATGGGAATAATTTTTTTTTTAAAGTAGTTTTATCTTCCATCTTCAGTAACCTGATGGATTTTTTTCTGTTGGGGCAAAAATTTGATCCTAACTTGTACAGTCCATGGTGACTGTACTAGCCTTGCTGCCTCAAGTCCTCAGGCTCAAGCCAGCCCAATCCTGCCCCGCTCTCAGAAGTGGTAATTACAAGATAGTTCAGTCTTTTGTTACCTGGTACAATGCAGACCTGAGGAGAGCTTACCAGGTACCAAAGAAATTGTTCTTCTTATCAGAAATTACTCTTATCCAGATGAGAATTCAAGCAAGAAAAATTTCTGGGGATAAACATTTTTTTCATCACAACAGAAATTTACCACATCCGAGATTGTCTTAAGCCGGTCTGTTGTGTATTTTTTTTTAATATTTATTAAATTTGCTGGTGTCATATCTCAGTGAAAAAACAATTTGTCCAAACAGTTGTTACTTGAAACTAATAATGTTAGGATAAAGTGAGTTGCAGTGGTAAATACTCTGTTGGACATAGAGTTGAAGTAGCGACACCTGAGACTGCAATGGACTAATGTGTGAACTGCATGAAATTAGAGGAATGTGAAAATATGCTTAAAATGTTTGAAGTTGCCTATAAATGCATGATCTCTTTTTCTCTGCATTTCCTGGCTGTAAACTCTGTCGGTGAGTCCTGGCTATTTATCCACTTCTGGGCTTTGGTCTTTTTGCAGGACTTTAGTTTTGTGTGCACATTCATTTTACAGATGAGGCTTTTTTGTGTGCCAACTGTTTGTTTATTACCTCTCAGGCAGATGCCCTCTGACTCTGAAGGAAGTGTTGATCCTTTCTTGGCTAGGCCTTTGGGTGGGAACCTGTTTCTAGGACAACCTCGGAGAGGTGTTGATAGGTCTTAAATGAGTAGAATGAGTAGTGGTCTTGTTGCACGACCACATGTGGTTCAGTACCTTGTAATCTTAGTTTCAGATTCATAGCAAATGAGCCACCCCATTGTTGTTTCGCTCCTGTGCCAATGGAAAACACACAGAATGTCCATCACTGTGCTTTGTGGAAAAACTGAACCTGATTGCAGTCTCAGCATATCCACTAGCATACCCATGCATTAAAAGCATGAGGCAGCAATCAGAAATGCTAACACAAACAGTCCGACATTAGAAATGCAGTTCATCATCGACGAAAGCAGCATTTACAAACAGATCAGAAGTTGCACACACAGTTAATTTTAACTACATTAAGGCACTACCACTTCTGTGGCAACAGGCCACTTGCCATTTTCTAAATCTACAGTTCACAGCAGCATGTTGGTCATGGTTGAAAAACGTCAAATGAAATCTGCAGCTCACAGTGTTGTGTCATGCACTTAACTCCATTTAGACCAGAAGTTTCGGTACACATCTCTGCATCCACCAGTTCAAGATGAGATGTGTGGTGCTGAATTAGGTACATGTAAGTCAAAGACCATTTGCACAACAGTGATGCAGCAGGCATCTGTTGCTAGACTCATATTGGCATTCAATGGGTGAGTGAGTCAACATCCTGCTGACAGCCTTTACTTCCCATGGTGTTGTCTGGCACCCATTTTAGGCTGGGTTTTCCTTGGTATGGATTTGGGTGAGCCCAGTACCAGAGCACCAAGTATTGGCTCTGCATTTATGGAAGCCACCTTGGGTGATGGGAAATGCTCATGTTCTGCCCCTGACTTTCCTTGAGGGTGAACCAGCATTCTTGGCTTCTCTGGGCCAGACTGATGGAAGGCACTAACAGTGACCTACGAAACAAAGATGATCTCACAACAGTGAGGCAGCAGTGTTCCATGAAACAAACTGGGAAGGCTAACCAACTCAAAAATGTCTGTAGATGTTAAACATGTCAGACAAAAGGTGCAAATATCGCAGCCGTGTTGTAAACGGGCACAGCGCAGTTACATCCTGGCATGAGTGAAGAAAAAGAAGAGGATTTTCTTGCTTCACCATCAGTAATTCTGCATTGTGCACCTGATAAGTTTCAATGAAGTGTGCCAGGCAATAAAATATGCATTTCTCATTTGTGTCAGGGAAGCCACTATGGTGTAGCAGTTAGACACTCACCTGCCGATCAGAAGGTTGTGGGTTTGGGTCCTCGTGGAGCCAGAGGTTTAAAATATGACCTTGGCTCCCAGGTCGACCCATTGAGTGGGTACCAGGTACAGTCCTGGGAAATAAAGGCGGTTATCTTGATGATGACCACATTACCTACAGAATGCACTAAATGCCTCAAGGTGTGGAAAGGGTACTCCTTTGCTTTTTATTTGTCTCTTTTGTTCAAACTACATTTCTGTAAAATAAACTTTTCTTTTGTGTAAATTATCAGCAAGTCTTCCGAACTTGATCGATGGAGTGACAAAGACCCAGTTTCAGAATATTCTGGATGAGTTTATCAGATACAGGGACATCAAGGATAAAAATGCTCTTTACGATGCTCTGGAGTTTCAGTACACCTACTGGCCACATCCCACAAACCAAACCTGGATATGTAATAAGCTGATTGAGGTAAGATTTCACAGACTTTTGACTTTTGGCTCTCATCATGTGGACCTATACATACATTTGAGTTGAGTTCTGGGGACCTATTTGTGAGGGGGGGGGGGGGGGGGGGGGAAACTGGAATAGATCCACAGTCCCCCCCTTTCCAACAAACATGTTGTACAAGTGACTAATTAGGGGTGTCTTGTTTAAGGTTAGAGTGCCTCTAAGAGGTGAGGAACCAGCAGTCTACATACAAATAAACCAGACCTGTAAAATGGATGTGCATGCCAAACTCAAGTTCAGGAACGAGACCTAAGTCCAGAGGTGGATGAACAACCAAAACTTTCTGCTGGAGTTTGCAGACGGTCAACACGAAGAAGATTTGGTTGAAAAGCAACTAATTAAGAATTTGTTGAAATCTGATGTGTGGGGCTGAAAGGCTCAGATGGTTACTGCTTAGCTGTAAACCACAACATGGCTTGCCATCCACCCTTCTAAAAGCAACTACAGAAGAATAGGTTGTCTAGTTTCCTGCCACTACACTCGCTTTCAGTCTGAATTCATTTCTGATGTCTTTAAAATGATTAATGCCTGTGTCTTACTGAAGCTGTTGGAAGCAGCAAAAATGTTACAGAAGTCACTAAATGAATTAAGGCATCTATGGTGAAGTGGTTAAGCTGTTCACCTCATGCTGTGAAGGTCATGTGTTCCTTTCATGGTTATGTAGTTTCACGATTAGTTTTTATAGAGATCCTTTGGGAATCCCCACCGCAGCCACTTAGTTTGTGCTTTGTGTGACACTCCCAGCGGGTGGCTAGCTGTTCTCCTGAGAGAAACCAAACCATATTGGATAAAACAGTGCAATGACATTGAGCCGCTCACCTTTAACCTTTAAAAATAATGTCAAAAGGGGTGGCCAGAGGTAGGATTCATTGGCTAAAGGTAAGAGTCATTGGCTGGAGGTAGGATTCATTGGCTGGAGGTAGGGTTCATTGGCTGGAGGTAGGATTCATTGGCTGGAGGGAGGATTCATTGGCTGGAGGTAGGATTCATTGGCTGGAGGGAGGATTCATTGGCTGGAGGGAGGATTCATTGGCTAGATATAGGAGTCATGGAGCTGGCTGTCCCATCTCAGTTAAAAAAAAAAAAAACGACAACAAAGACAGCCATCTTTAAGAAAGTCTAAAAAGGACAAGAAAAAAACTCAACCAGTTTGAGGGAAAAGGGGGGGGGGGGGTGTTATAGATTAAAAATATGGCCAGTGTTCGATTAAGGGGATAAAGTGCAGAAGAAGAAGAAAAGTGAGAAGATCAACTTCATGCATCAGGATTCATCCCTTTTGGTCGAGTCTGACTGATCACCTGTCAAAAGCAGAGCAGGATTATTTTTTTGTCTTTTAGAGTGAATATTTTTGTTTCCTAGAATGATAATTTTTGTTTCCTAAAGTGATTATTTTGCTGTTTTCTAGAATGTGAATTTTATTGCTTGTTTTCAAGAGTATTAATATTATTGCTTCTTTTCTTATGTGTGATTATTATTCTGTTTACTGCTTGGTCAAATTGTTTCGCTCTGGAGGTTATTCGTTCTATTATGGCTGCATGGTTTGGTTCACGGGCGCAATTTTAATGCAGGCCTCTTGGGATCATCGTCAGAGCTAAAGTAGTTCATGCTTTGTGTGATACTCTTGGCAGTTTTCTAGCCATTCCGCAAGTAAAGATCGAGCCATATGGGACCCCCCCCCCCCCCCCCCAAAGCCTGGTACAATGAAATCGAGGAGCAGCTGACCAAACGGTTGGAACGCTGGGCTTTCAACTGGTAGATCTGGGTTCGAATCCTTGATAAGGCTGGGGATTTTTTCTGTCAATGCAAAATAAAATGCACACCTGCATAGTCGTGGCACCAGCACTAGCCATGCGCCCTGTGAATCCTCAGGCTCAAAGACCCTGCCTGCCTACACCACATAAGTTTTTTTTTTTTTCAATGAAATCGCTCCTCTTGACTGTAACTTTTGCATTGTAAAATATGTATATGATTGCCTTGTTTCCCAGATGATGGGAGACTACATGTTTGGTGCTGCGATGAGTGCAACTTTGGACTCCCATGTGTTCGCCTCCACTGTGTTTTTCTATGTCTTTGAGTACAATTCCTGGAACAATTACAATCCATCATGGAGAGGTAGGTCACGTACTGAGTATTAGTGATGTAATAATTGTATTTACATGAGGGCTTCAAATTAAATCCTTAAAAGAGTTACAGAAACTACACCAACCATGCCATTGTCTTGTAACCTGTGATTATTGTTGTTAAGGATGTCAAGAGTGTTAAGCATGTGCCGTCACAGTGCAGACGATCAGAATGACATCATAATGAAAGTTTAAAGATGGCCTCTCCATTTTTGTCATGAGAGGAGCGGCATTTTCTGATCAGCGAAAGGGTGAAACCTAAAGAAATTCATTAGCGAATGAAGGTCCAGTGCGGTGATGCATGTCTGTCGGTCCAGCAAGTGTGTGAGTGGGAAGTTTTATAACAGCGTTTTTTTCTGTGACAGACTGTTCATGACCGGATCAGGCACACTTTCACTCACAAGTCCACGCTGTTCTGAAACTTGACATTTTAACAATATTGAAACCCCCTGATTTTTAGTTGTTTCTTCGCCACAGGTGTGGACGTGTGCTAGTAAATAGGTAATGCTGGTTTGATTCAGCTAATTTCCTTCATGAAGACCTTAGTGATTGTGGCAAAATGTAATAAAAACTTTAGTAGCACAGAGATTGTGGGTTCTGTGTCCACATTATGGGGGAAAACAAAAATAGACGCACTGCCCCAAACATATTATAAGAGTTAATAATTAGCAATTGTTTCTTCAAATTCGAAGTGCTTCTGCCTGAGAGGTGAGCTACCATAAGTCTACATACAAGTAAGTATCTGTAATGTGCACTGGATCGCAAATTATTCCTCCCCACGGCGCTTAACTGCAGAAGTGGTTTACGATGATGATGATGATGAATCTGTAGTCTACATTTTCTAGTAACACTACTAATATATCTGTAATATTAAACTTGTAACTCTAAAATAATCCATATGTAACTGTTGTGTGCTAAATTGAGTCAGCACACTACCAAGTGTCTAGCAGGTACTCTTCAGCTTCCTTTCTTAACAAGACAACTCGACGACGATGACACCGTCATACAAGTTTATTTAACAGGATACATGACACAAATGCAGAGACGTAGTTATTGATCACAGCTGACATTCTCACATCGTTCATTTGTCTTCACAGCTCTCGATCTCTCACTGTGTAGTGACCTCTCCTGGACTACTGCAGATACCAGGATGACGGCGTCCCACTCTCTGGACGCGTCGTACAGCTGAACAGGACGACTTCTCCCATTCACTGGACCTTGATATTAATTCAGCATACAACACGGCTGACTGGAGACGGACTTCTCTTGCCGTACCCCGAAACCAGGCACTACTGGTCTTCCCGTCCCCTGGACTTACTTTGCCAGCGGGACCATATTTTCCATACCGCAATTCCGACACTTACTCAGACCTAAATGCCTGATAGTCGTACGGTATTCTAGTCGGTTAGACTCCAATGACCGACAGGACTTCTACCATAAGTCCTCTCATACTTTTGACATGTAGGGCAATCTCGACACTTACTCGGACCTAAATGCCCGATAGTCGTACGGTATGTTTGTCTGTTAGACTCGAGATTTTACCTGGACCCTGACTTGGTCTCTGACTCTCGTTTTCTCTCTCTTCTTGCTTCTCGCTCTATCTTGACTGCCCCCGAGGGGCTTTAGCCCTCAGGCTACAGCTCACTCTCTGGACTGTCTACGCAGCCCAATTTATATATGTCGAATCCGTGTAGGTGGATGGTGATTACACGAGAGGCACGCTTGTGTGGGCGTTCTCATGAATCATGATCCTGTGGGTGTTCTCGGGACTCGCTCATGTGAGCGTTCCCGAGGATCACGCTTATGTGGGTGGCTGATGTTACCCGAGAATCACGCTGTCACTTAATTCACACTTTATCTCGTTATCCACGCTTTCAGCTCACCACACAGAATCCTACGCGTCCACTTTCTCTCGTGGCAAGCACGCCTTGTTCATGAATAGACGTTTTCACTGGTCACCTCTTAATACTCGGATCATATTGACACTCTTTCCTCGTGAACTTACAGGAAGTACAGGCATACCATTGTCCCTTCCCACAATATCACACTTAACCCAAATCAGCGCGCAACAGTAACTTTATATTTATCATCATTTTAACATGAAACTGGAGACACAAAGTTTGTGAAAACAATATTTAATCAATTGTTTTAATCTGTTTCAGGTATTTCCCATGGTCAAGATTTGGAATACATATTTGGGTTTCCCTTCATTAATGATACTTACAGAGATTTACTGGGTATTTTTCCAAGACAGGAATATGATTACTCTGATCGAAATATCTCAGAGTATATGATAACAATGATAACAAACTTCACAAGCACCGGGTAAGTTGTGTGCACATGCTGTCTTATGTGGCATGCTTGTTTGTTCATATGTTATGTATGGTGTGACATGCTTGTCTGCCTGTCCTGTCTCCCTATGTTTGTGTGTATGTGTGTGCATACAAGTTCTTGTGAAGTAAGGTTGGCGATATGTATTTTTGTCTACATGAGCTTGTGTATTGAGCTCATATTACTGGCAAGTTGCCTGTGTGGGCTCAGAGGCCCTGTTTTGAAGAGGAAAAGAAATTGCCAATTCCTCCCCACCAAGCATGTCGTAAAAGGTGACTAATTAGGGGTTTGCTTAAATCAGATGGGGATAGGTGCAGATATCACAGCCTAGCTGTAAACCACAACACAAGGTGCCAACTGCCCTTCTAAGGGTGAATGCAGAAGAGGATGACTGGTAAATATTCACAGCTGTTAGAAAGTTTGTACTTAACTACAGAACATTAGTTACCAGTAGAGAGTTTGTACCTAATTACAGACCATTGGTTACCAGTAGAAAGTTTGTACCTAACTACAGACCATTGGTTACCAGTAGAAAGTTTGTACCTAACTACAGAACATTAGTTACCAGTAGAAAGTTTGTACCTAACTACAGAACATTAGTTACCAGTAGAGAGTTTGTACCTAACTACAGAACATTAGTTACCAGTAGAAAGTTTGTACCTAACTACAGTACATTGGTTACCAGTAGAAAGTTTGTACCTAACTACAGAACATTAGTTACCAGTAAAAAGTTTATACCTAACTACAGACCATTGGTTACAAGTAGAAACTTTGTACCTAACTACAGAACATTAGTTCTTCTTCTTCGTCTTCTTTTCCACCTTTTACCTCATCAAAGTGTCGGTGGGAGATGTAATGTTCTTTAATGGTCTCTGTCAAGAGCACTATTAAGGCTGATGTTAATTTCCGAAAGGCTGTTCTTAATGCCATCACTCCATATTTTCTGAGGTCTTCCACTCGCTCTATACCCGTTGTTACGTTTTAGTGTGGCTCGCTGTGGCAGATAGTACCAGGGCATTCTTGTTCGGTATCCAAACCACTTCATTTGTTGTTCTTTGATGGCCTGTAAGATTGGCTTTATTCCTAGCATTCGTCTGATTTCGTATTCTGTCTTTCCTTGAAATTCCTGCAGCTCTTCTAAAGCATTTCTTCTCTGTTGTCACAATTTTACGTTCATTGGAGGATGTAAGTGTCCACATTCGGCATTGATAGCATAGTGTTGGCCAAAAAATAGTTCTGAAAAGATTCACTTTAGTACTCCGAGTTATCTGCTTGTGTGTCAACAGGGAAGATAGTTGACCCATTACTGGATTAGCTTTGGCACATCTAGAGCTAATTTCTCTGACCATTTTTCCGTCGGATGTAAAAATTGCTCCCAAATACTTAAATTCCTCTGTTTGTCTCAGGGTGCTGTTTTTAAATTTTATTTCTAAATTGTCTTTATGTCTTCCCTTCATCATTGTCTCTGTTTTCGTAGTTTTTTTTTTTTACAGAACATTAGTTACCAGTAGAAAGTTTGTACCTAACTACAGACCATTGGTTACCAGTAGAAAGTTTGTACCTAACTACAGACCATTGGTTACCAGTAGAAAGTTTGTACCTAACTACAGACCATTGGTTACCAGTAGAAAGTTTGTACCTAACTACAGACCATTGGTTACCAGTAGAAAGTTTGTACCTAACTACAGACCATTGGTTACCAGTAGAAAATTTGTACCTAACTACAGACCATTGGTTACCAGTAGAAAGTTTGTACCTAACTACAGACCATTGGTTACCAGTAGAAAGTTTGTACCTAACTACAGACCATTGGTTACCAGTAGAAAGTTTGTACCTAACTACAGACCATTGGTTACCAGTTGAAAGTTTGTACCTAACTACAGACCATTGGTTACCAGTAGAAAGTTTGTACCTAACTACAGACCATTGGTTACCAGTAGAAAGTTTGTACCTAACTACAGACCATTGGTTACCACAATTATTTTTGTTTATTCTAAGACAAAGTTCCCCACCCTCTCAAATTTAAAACTTTCTTTCATTACAGTGAGCCCACACCAAGAATTGAACAGTTACGTTTTTTCCGCAACGTCTCATGGTATCAGTACAACATGGTGAACCACACCTACTTAAGTATCAACAACCAATCAATGAACAAGATCAACTACCGGCAGGACCAGTCTCACTTTTGGAATGACTACTATCCAAAACTGGCAGGATACTCTCAGTGTAAGTGCTGAAGTTGAATTACATGTATATAGGGTTAGTGGACATGTATATGTGGCTAGTGGATGGGTATATGTGGTTAGTGGATGTGTATATGTGATCAGTGTACTTGTATATGTGGCTAGTGGATGTGTATATGTGGCTAGTGGACATGTATATGTGGCTAGTGGATGGGTATATGTGGTTAGTGGACATGTATATGTGGCTAGTGGATGGGTATATGTGGTTAGTGGATGTGTATATGTGATCAGTGTACTTGTATATGTGGCTAGTGGATGGGTATATGTGGTTAGTGGACATGTATATGTGGCTAGTGGATGTGTATATGTGGCTAGTGGAGATGTATATGTGGCTAGTGGACATGTATATGTGGCTAGTGGACATGTATATGTGGCTAGTGGATGGGTATATGTGGTTAGTGGACATGTATATGTGGCTAGTGGATGGGTATATGTGGTTAGTGGATGGGTATATGTGGTTAGTGGATGTGTATATGTGGCTAGTGGATGTGTATATGTGGCTAGTGGACATGTATATGTGGCTAGTGGATGTGTATATGTGGCTAGTGGACATGTATATGTGGCTAGTGGACATGTATATGTGGCTAGTGGATGTGTATATGTGGTTAGTGGACATGTATATGTGGCTAGTGGATGTGTATATGTGGCTAGTGGATGTGTATATGTGGCTAGTGGACGTGTATATGTGGCTAGTGGATGTGTATATGTGGCTAGTGGACATGTATATGTGGCTAGTGGATGTGTATATGTGGCTAGTGGACGTGTATATGTGGCTAGTGGATGTGTATATGTGGCTAGTGGATGGGTATATGTGGCTAGTGGACGTGTATATGTGGCTAGTGGATGTGTATATGTGGCTAGTGGACATGTATATGTGGCTAGTGGATGTGTATATGTGGCTAGTGGACATGTATATGTGGCTAGTGGATGTGTATATGTGGCTAGTGGACATGTATATGTGGCTAGTGGATGTGTATATGTGGCTAGTGGACATGTATATGTGGCTAGTGGATGTGTATATGTGGCTAGTGGACATGTATATGTGGCTAGTGGATGTGTATATGTGGCTAGTGGATGTGTATATGTGGCTAGTGGATGGGTATATGTGGCTAGTGGACATGTATATGTGGCTAGTGGATGTGTATATGTGGCTAGTGGACATGTATATGTGGCTAGTGGATGTGTATATGTGGCTAGTGGATGTGTATATGTGGCTAGTGGACATGTATATGTGGCTAGTGGATGTGTATATGTGGCTAGTGGACATGTATATGTGGCTAGTGGATGGGTATATGTGGCTAGTGGACAGGTATATGTGGCTAGTGGATGGGTATATGTGGTTAGTGGACATGTATATGTGGCTAGTGGATGTGTATATGTGGCTAGTGGACATGTATATGTGGCTAGTGGATGTGTATATGTGGCTAGTGGACATGTATATGTGGCTAGTGGATGTGTATATGTGGCTAGTGGACGTGTATATGTGGCTAGTGGACGTGTATATGTGGCTAGTGGACATGTATATGTGGCTAGTGGACGTGTATATGTGGCTAGTGGACATGTATATGTGGCTAGTGGACATGTATATGTGGCTAGTGGACATGTATATGTGGCTAGTGGACATGTATATGTGGCTAGTGGACATGTATATGTGGCTAGTGGACATGTATATGTGGCTAGTGGACGTGTATATGTGGCTAGTGGACATGTATATGTGGCTAGTGGATGTGTATATGTGGCTAGTGGACATGTATATGTGGCTAGTGGACATGTATATGTGGCTAGTGGACATGTATATGTGGCTAGTGGATGTGTATATGTGGCTAGTGGACATGTATATGTGGCTAGTGGACATGTATATGTGGCTAGTGGATGTGTATATGTGGCTAGTGGATGTGCATATGTGGCTAGTGGACATGTATATGTGGCTAGTGGACATGTATATGTGGCTAGTGGACATGTATATGTGGCTAGTGGATGTGTATATGTGGCTAGTGGACATGTATATGTGGCTAGTGGACATGTATATGTGGCTAGTGGATGTGTATATGTGGCTAGTGGACGTGTATATGTGGCTAGTGGATGTGTATATGTGGCTAGTGGACATGTATATGTGGCTAGTGGATGTGTATATGTGGCTAGTGGATGTGTATATGTGGCTAGTGGATGTGTATATGTGGCTAGTGGACATGTATATGTGGCTAGTGGATGTGTATATGTGGCTAGTGGACGTGTATATGTGGCTAGTGGACGTGTATATGTGGCTAGTGGATGTGTATATGTGGCTAGTGGATGTGTATATGTGGCTAGTGGACGTGTATATGTGGCTAGTGGATGTGTATATGTGGCTAGTGGATGTGTATATGTGGCTAGTGGATGTGTATATGTGGCTAGTGGATGTGTATATGTGGCTAGTGGACATGTATATGTGGCTAGTGGATGTGTATATGTGGCTAGTGGATGTGTATATGTGGCTAGTGGATGTGTATATGTGGCTAGTGGATGTGTATATGTGGCTAGTGGATGTGTATATGTGGCTAGTGGACATGTATATGTGGCTAGTGGACGTGTATATGTGGCTAGTGGACATGTATATGTGGCTAGTGGACATGTATATGTGGCTAGTGGACGTGTATATGTGGCTAGTGGACATGTATATGTGGCTAGTGGACGTGTATATGTGGCTAGTGGATGTGTATATGTGGCTAGTGGATGTGTATATGTGGCTAGTGGATGTGTATATGTGGCTAGTGGATGTGTATATGTGGCTAGTGGACGTGTATATGTGGCTAGTGGACATGTATATGTGGCTAGTGGACATGTATATGTGGCTAGTGGATGTGTATATGTGGCTAGTGGATGGGTATATGTGGTTAAAAGATGGGTAATCAGGTAATCACAGTTTCAACTTTACAGCAAGCGGGTCACCCGGATGATGACTGGGTAATTTAACTATTTCACTGCTGGATGATTGTTCCACAGAAGCCCAAACTGGTATTATAACATCAGTGAAGTAGCATCCGTGTGTGTCACTTTCAAAGAAAGCGTTACAATTTTATCTTGTGTCAGCAACATGATCACAGAATCCCAAGGAATAAAGATATTCTTTCTCCAGATTACTATAGGCAGCCTGTTACGGAAGGCCCTCAGACAGCATCCCCGTTTCAGATCTCAACCTGGGCCCTAACCGCAGTGGGAGGAGTTCTTCTGTTTGTGGTCATTTGCCTGGTGGTTTTGTTGATATGTCGGTCAAGGACTAAGAAGTAAGTAGATCATAGTTAACATAGTTCAGAGAATGACACTAGATACTTAACGCGGTTAAACCAGTCAGTGTTTTCAGAATTTTGTCATGGCTAGTTTTAGGATTGGTCTCTTTCTTTAATTTTCATAAACTGTAAAAGTGGGAACGTCAAATTTTTCTGTTTCAGTACATTTATAGAAGAGCAATAAAAGCAGGAATTTCAGACTTTGAACAAAACAAATAACTTTTAATGCATCATAAGACTTCAGTCAGCTCACTTAGTTAGTCTTTCCTCTTGAGCCTAGGGTGGTGCATAGGGCAAAGGTCATAGCTCTCCATGTCTGGCGGTTTGTTGCCACCTGATTTAGGTCTTAGATGTTCATAAGGCACATAGTTGAGCCTTCCTTCCTTGATGATGGTTCTATGCAGGGTCTCTATTGGTCTTATGTTTTCTTTTTCTTTCTGGTGTTTGTATGAGGGCTTGATGGGGAGTCTTCTCAGCTCACTCCACATTGTTTATTTGTACATATCATTGCAAGACTGTTGAATATCACCTATTTTAGCGTACAGCTCTTACAGATATGAGACATTGTTGCTTCAACTGTAGCCAGATAAAAGAAACACATAAGGGACATTGCTTTTCGTCCTGTGCCCTTTATCTCCCAATGCAGCACAGGCCCTCAAACAGTCCATACCAGGTCGTCCCATCATGTATCATTGCATTCAGTTCATCTCATATCCTCCCCATCTTTTTAATTCTATTCTCTAGCTCCCTACTTCATATGTTATTTGGTCTGCCTTTTTTTTTTTTTGATTCCACTGTAAAGACATTTTAGTTACTATAGTTCTCATATTTTCTCAAAATGAAGCACAACATGTGTGAAACACTTGCTATCATTGCATGGTATTGGATAGCTTACATATATCACTACATGGCTTTGGGCTGCACGATGAAAACCCAGTCACTGCTCGGCTGATACCATCACCATCAGGTGCTAGCAGACTTTCACAACAGATCATGCTTCTCCACATCTTGTCATTTCCATCAGTGTGGAGCAATTGATGTGTCTGTCTATGCCAAAATAAATGGCTATCAAAAATCTTGTCTTCCGCTGTCTATTTTTCTCTACATCTTGCAAGTTTCTCCAGGTTTTTCCCTATTCTTTTCATTTGGCCTACACAGTTTTGACTGCCTCTTTCTGATGTTTATTTTAGGCTGTTTTTGACTTAACCTCTTTCAAAACAAGCATTTAGATTATTCATTTTCACTGTGCCAGGAATTGTCAGCATTCTTCTAACAACAGCTGTGTGAAAATGAAAGAAAATGATTGGTAAAATTAATATGCCATCAGTTCTGCTCTCTAGTCATAAGCAATTGTAAATATCAGCCTAAAATTATGACCTCCCATCTTTTAAAAGAGCTAATTTATTAAAATAGGCCCAAAAGCTGAAATTACACCCAAAATAGCTTCCATGTAGTTTCTGCCTCTAAATCAGGTTGGGTCCCTGTACTGGGAATTTATGAGTAATTGATGGGAATTTCTTTTTCAGAATAGTGGTTTCTAGAGATTCCATACCTCCATGATTTCCTGGGTACAGACATCCGATGCCAAACCTTCCAGTATATCATTGAAAGACTGTTTATTTTGTGTTTGTTACAAATCCCACACAGTTAAAGACTGTAATCTGTGGGCCACACTGCCTTGCTATCATTTAAAGATAGTAAAATCTGTCACATGTACAGTTTATATTGCATGAATGAAAAAAATGTCTCTGAGTTTATCATTAATCCTATGAATTTAGTGCACTGTGCTGAGAGCCTGCTTATGATATATGTAAATTCAGTTATCGATTTTCTGTATTTGGTAAATAAAAGCCTCCATATCAAAGTAGTCAGGCTTAGTTCTGAAGGCCTTGGATTTGTTTTCAGAAAGTGTCAGTCATTTTATAAGTGTGGAGTCTTTTAATAGATCCCTGGGGGTCATCACTGTAGCTACAGAGATCTTGCTTTGTGCAGTGCAGCCAGCCGCTATGCAGAGACAAGCCAAGCAATATGGGGATAAAGATCCTGTGCAAAGGAAGTTGATCCCCTTATCTTTAAACCATTCAAAAACTAGTTCTTGGGGAAAAAACAGTAATACAATATGCAGATGAAACAGTCCTACATTTGAACACTGTAAAGAGAACAGGGCCTCAGTAACACATGGGCATTATTCTAAATAAAATTAAAATAGAATAAAATTAAAAAAAATATGGGTTACTTTGTGCTTATAATACTATATTAGCCTACTTAACGCATGTTAAATGATAAGCACAATTGGTGTTAATAAGTAAAGTTGATGTTCATAGAAATTGTATATATAATTGTGTTACCTATAAATTAATACTTTGGATTTAGCTAGTCAAGTTCCCTTGTTGATGCCCTTCTGGTGCCCCATTGGGTGGGGGGGGGGGGGGGGGGGGGGGGGGGCGGTGGAAGAATAGACCCATTACCCCTGACAAGCATGTTGCAAAAGTCGACTATTTAGTCGTGTTTCCTTCAAAGTTGGAGTAAGTTTGCATGGGTGGCAATGAACCAACAGTTTGCATACAAGTGAGCCAAATCTGTGAAACATGCAAAACTCAAGTTCTGGAACAAGACCAACATCTAGAAGTGGATGAACAGCAAGAACTTTCCGCCGGAGGTTATTTACAGCCGGTGAACATAAAGAAGAAGACCCAGTAAAATTTATTAACTACCTCAGCCTGACTTTTACAGAAATCTCATATCAGTTAGATTTTAAGTCTAATTTAATATATAGTTTCATTTTTTTTTATACAAGAAATACATTTATCAGGCATCATTACTGATCTGTATCTTATGTGTATTATTGCATATTCACCATGGTTTTTTGTAGGAATTTTTTTTAACTTGCTGTGAATTGTCAAAACATCTGCTGGGTTGTGACTCTTTGAAAATAAAGTTTGTTTGGTCATACTTTCATTTATACACACATCTACACTTTCTGTGTACAGTTTGTATGTCAAGTTTTTTTCATGGCTTCTGGTGTTACAACCAAAAACCTTTTTTCTAGAACAAGAGGGGCAGGTCATTACCCACCACTTCTAAAAAAAAAAGGTTCCAGTGCTAACAGCAGTGTCTGTTACAGTAGCACTGAAAAACTGATGCTGTAAAATGAGTGCAGATACCGCTTACCATTGCGTACTGTCAGAAAAATCCCCTCTTAAAACCTGTTTATTTCATTCAAATATCACACAGTAATTGAATAGTCTCTAAATGTTAAAGATGAGGGGAGGTCTGTCTGTTGGTTTTTTAGGTCCTTGTATGGGTTCAAGGGCCCCAGTTTTAGGGATACAATAATAGACCCCCTGCCCTCTTCCTCTCACCCCCAGCAGTCATTTAGTAAAAGGTGACTAACTGGGTGTTTACCTCAAAACTGGAACACATCTGCCTGAGAGGCAAGAGTGTGCACACAAATAAGCCAGATTTTACAGTAGATATGCATGAAAAATTCAAGTTCTGAAACATGACCAAAGTACACAAGTGGACAAGCAGCGTGAACTTTCTTCCTGAGTTTACAGCCAGTGAATGATGAGAAGAAGGATTTTGAAGCAATAAAAATATGGCATGTACTAGATTGGTTGTTACCTCTGTGTTGAGGGAACCAGAGAGTGACCTACTTTTACTTTGTATGTCGTGAGAGGTCACTAACAAAGGTTGGTGTGAGATTGACTATGTCACCATAGATCACTTTACCTGCAAAAACTAATTACTCATGTACAAGTCTTTCAATAATCTATTGAGAAATGAAAGCAGCAGAAGAAGAAGGAGAAGAAGAAAAAGTAGAATGGACATCAGACATACAAGTTGAGAGCTTGTTTCTGTTGTTGTTGTTTGTGTTAAGAAGGCTCTGGGAAACTTCTGATTTTTCTTGAGTGTGCATTGTTAATCTTTTCCTCTTTGTTAAGCTTCTTATTTCTTTGTGAGTTATGATTTGGGCTATCTTTACAGCACTCCAGATATGTCCATAGGTGCTCACATTCCTCCTTCAACATTTACATTAGCCTCTTGCAGTTGATAGTCCCAGTCCTATGTTGGTTGACAAGACTTCTTGTGTGTCCATTGCACTTCTTGTGCCTGGCTGGTGCCGATCTTTAATCTCAGTTCTTACACTCTTATCAAAAAGGTAGAAGTGCTGCTCCCAAAATCCTTATTTAGAACATGAGTAATGGCGGAACACTCAACAAAGTGACAATTCATAGGAAAAATGTCTGTTGAGTGAAAGAACCACTGAACTGATGGGAGTCAGCCCTAGACCAAGAGATTTGCTTGCAACTTATTAGATGAGCAACTTCTGCGGATGGTGTCTCGCGATCCAGGCATAGTTTGTAGTTAACTGAGGATCCCAGATATGTGAAACTGTCAACCGTTTCAAGCTTTTCATGCTGAATGAAGATTGTAGGTCAATGACTGACACCTTGTGGAATCTGTTTTTTTTTTTGGTGTCTTGCTAATTGTTAGACCAAATTCACAACAAGCATCAGAAAATGCAGACAGTAAACACTGCAATACCTCCTCTGAGTGAGCTACAATTGCGTCATTCACAAAAAGCAGCTCCTTGATGAGTACCTTCCTGATTCTAGTTTGGGCTTTCAGTCTGCAAGCATTGTACAGGCCTCCATCTGAGTGAGAATGGATGAATATTCCATCCTCCTCGTTTCATAATCAGCATCAGGATAGGGAAGGCAGCAACAGCAATGAGCAGATTAAATAAGAGAGTTTGGGAGAACGGGAAGCTCACAGTTAAAACAAAAAAACCTTATCTACCAAGTATTTGTCATCAACACTCTTCTTTATGGTAGTGAAACTTGGTCAACTGACTCGTATCAAGAGAAGCAACTAAAAAGTTTTCACATGCTATGCTTACGAAGAATATTTGGCATTAGGTGGTAAGATAGGATAACAGATATTGAGGTTTTGGAAAGAGCTGGTGTTCAAACAATGTTTTCAGTGCACAGTCT